GCTCACAGATCCTCAGAGGAGTTTCTGTGCAAACAAACACTTCACATTCACAGTTTCACAACCAGCAGACGTCTGAATCCTGCAGGTCGGAAAAACATGCTCCACGTTTTCCCTCACAAAACGTATTCACACAGGAGCTCCGGAAGTATTCTTAGAAATGTGTCTCAGTGTGATGACCTGTTAACTAGGACCAGTACCAGGTCCCACATCTTTGTGAAAAAATATGCTAATTCTAATCCAAGAAAGAGAAATATTCCGCTCTGTTGCCAAACGAGGCTCCCACGATGTGGGTCCTGCCAACAGGAGTTGTACATGCACCGTCCGTCTTCATATGAAGGCAACAAGGCTAACTTTTAAATGTGAGGGTCAGATACAGTGCACAGGTCACTGTTTCCCACCTTCTGCTGCAGGCAGAGAAAAAGCTTCAGCTCCCGTTGAGTCTATTTGACTTCTAATAATGATCTCTGACTCCCTGCAGAGACCAAATTTTCTCAAACACACTACAACAAAGTGATCGTTTCCTCCTCTGTGTTCTTATCGAACATTAAATGTGAATTAACGGTGTGACGGCTCTGCAATTAGACGCGACACTCATTTGAAATGCAAATAGATTTGAGTTCTCCAGAACGAGCCTCGGTCCAAAAAGCTTTCAGACTCTCTGTAGGTTTCTCATGCATCACTTGTGGCGACGACCATATTTAATTACTCCTCCTGTCAATCAGAGCGCCGTCCCCCGAGCAGTCACTTCCTCATGCCTAGCTTTCAGCCACAGCGGGACTCCAGACCCCCTCTTCTGAGGCTGTCAGGGCCCTGAGGACCTGCTGGATCTGGTGATTATGCAGCTCTGTGCTCTCCCTGTGTGGGTAATGGAGGCTAAAATGAAAGGCCTACTTTGCCTTTTCACAGGCGATCAAACATGATTCATGCAGCACGTACGATTGCGAGGAGACGCAGAGATCTGCCACCGAGCCGCTGCTGCAGGTGGGAGGTAAATGTGTGGGCTTTACGATGGATCCGGCACACACTCGTTAGGGCTTTTATGTTGTTCGTATGGCGGTCTGTTGACTCTGTGGGGCAGTGATTCTGTGTGCAGAATTTTCCCACATATCGATTCATATGCGCCGCTCTTTACCATTCCCTAAGTCACACACGCTCACTCAAAGAGACACCTACTCAGAGAAGGAAACACAAAGAAACAGCACACTCTGAACACAGCGAATCACAAACAAGCAGCCTGAGCCGCGTGTGCGTGTGTGTGTGTGTGTGTGTGTGTGTGTGTGTGTGTGTGTGTCTGTGAGTGTGTGTGAAGCCTCTGCAGGGACAAGGCTGATTATCTAAAGGCAGCTCTTTCAGGCGGTCTTATCCTCCTTTGTGCTGAGACAGGAGGCTAACATCTCTGACACACACATCCTGTAACACGGTCCAAAGGATTCTGGGATTGGAAACAGAAAGCCGAAGATTCATAATCCTTTTAACATTTGTCACAATGCTAATAACTTTTTTTTTTAAAAAGCATCCAGCCATGCAGGAATTTCTCAACAGCTTATTATGTGGCTCGGCTCTTGTTGTTCAACTCTTAATATGACCATCCTGCAAACTCCTAAACACTGAAATCCAAGGACGATCTCCTCCATCATTAAAACAGAAAATTAGTACATGCATCTTTTTTTGTGATCGGCAGACAAAGTATTTGAAAATCAAGCTTCTGTTATGCAAATTGCTCAACATAAAAATGTAGAATCTGTGCACAGTATGAGAAATGTTCAGGTTTCTGGTTGTAGTCAGGGTGATATTGACCAATCACGTCTCAGGAGGCTCTGGTGTGTGCAGGAGAAAAACAGTCTGTGTGAACACCGGAAAGACATCCAGACTCTGATCAGCTGTAATTTGACGATGGTTTAAATCAGCTGTCAAACATTTCAACTTAAAGGAGCAGTATGTAACTCTGACCCCTAGTGTTTAAAATGGGTACTGCAGTCTTAATTCTAAACATTGTAGAGAGCTGTCTCCCCCCCTCCTCTCTATAGTCGATGCTCACGCAGGTTGCCATGTGGTGGACACTGAAGCTTCAGTGTTTATCCAGCTCTGCATCGGTCTGTAAACCTTTCTGTGTTCTCACCTCTCTCCATTTTTCAAAAGCATCTCCAATATTGATCCTAGTTTGAGCACGTTTCTGCTCGTGGAGCTTATTAGAAACATGCAGAGGCTTTTTAGGTCGGGTACAATCACTTCTATCTGAACCACTTCTCTTGCTGCTTCCATCACTGCAACACTTGTTGGTTTGACTGATAACTGCTCTCATATCTGGCAAACCGAGGGGCGTCCAAAACGGCCGTGTGGGGGTGTCTTAAAACCTCCTACCTTCTCTGGTCCAAACAAATCCAGATCATTCAGGACCAGAATCTAAAGTTAGAAGGAGGACATTTTATTATTTTTCCTGATTATTCTGACACGATGTGAATGCAGACTTACAACTCGATGGTGTTTTTATACTTGAAGCAGCTTGTTTTAGTTTCTCGTTTCTCTTTAGATTTCTTGAAGCAGCTCCTCAGCCGCTCTCAGTTTACTGTAAATGGGTGATCTGACTCTTTTCACAGCAGAAAACAATCGGGGCCCTTTGTGTATATGTGAGTATTTCTGGATGGAGAGTCTGTAAAACGCTGAGTGCTCCATAAAGTGGAAGTGAACAACATGACAGTGAGTGTTTGCAGCTGCAGCGACGGGAAGCTTAGTGACAGAGAGAGAGAGAGAGAGAGAGAGAGAGAGAGAGTCAGACTCGTCCAGGTGTCTCCTCTCTCTCTCTCTCCTCTCCCTCTTTGTTGTCTGCAGCTGAAAGCAGTTCACGGCCGTGTTTACATGTGTTTTTGTTTGCCACCTTATCTGTGAGCATGTTGCAGCAGCCAGAGCGTCACACAGTCTGACTTAACACAACACAGACAACCTACAGGAGACGCTCATCAGCTGACGGAAACATGTGAACACAGGCGGAGGAAACATCCAACTGAAACAGAATCCTTTAAATAAAACGACAATATTTTGTCTAAATTAACCAAACTTTCCTTTTTTAACAGTTCAGTGTGTTCTGTGGATGTGCATGTCTTTGTGCTGTGCTGCAGGTGCAGGCGCCGGGATTGGACAAGAGCTCATGGTGCTGCATGCCTGAGTGTGATTGGAAAGGAGGTGAGGCGCAAGATTTCAAACGGAGCTGCCTAAGCCGACACGCCCTCACCTTCACCCTTCAAACCTAACACGGCCGTCGTGAAGACAGCTTGTGTGATCACTGACAGCGTCCGGCAGATTTACTCTTTGTGTGTACATCTTGTATATATAATATATAATTTCAGTCACGTGTGTGGTGACAAACAGGAGCGAGAACATGCAGGACCAGGCGACAGAAGAGGAAGTCATGACCCATATTCGCTCAGTTATCCTGATAGTGATCCATGAAAACACCGGCTGACACCTGCATTGTGGGTAATGTAGTTGCAAGAAGGAAGAATGCATAAATGTTCAAAATAAATATTTCTGTTTGTGCTACGTCTAGAATAACACACAGTAGCTCCTGCTCACCGCTGGTTACCAAATATAGCACTGCTGACATGAGAGTGAGGAAGCAGAACTCCTCTAATTATATCTGAAATAAATCTTCTTCTCTTAAGAGTTTAATCTCAACACTGCAGCAGGTTTAATGCACATGTCTACACACTAAACACACAACACACACTCTCATCAGGGGCGATGGGAGCCTAGTGGTTAGTGTGCGCTCCCCATCTACAGAGGCTGGAAAAAGTCCGACCTACATGTCATTCCCCTCTCTCTCTCTCTCTCTCTCTCTCTCTCTCTCTCTCTCTCTCTCCTCTCTCTCTCTCTCTCTCTCTCTCTCTCACACAGTCGGCGTCCTCCTCATGCTGATGCAGACTCAAGGAAACAACCTCGTGTGTGCGTCCGTGCTGAAACACACAAACACACACTCTCTTCGTTTTGTCTCAAGGTGGCCGACTCTCTGTGGAGTTACTGAACGCTCTGAGGGGATATAAAAAAACTGAGATGTTATTCACATTTAGCTCTCTAATTGCTGAAGACGCTCACGTTAAAGAAAGAAGCAGTGCAGCTCTGTGACCTCAGCCTCGACCGTGAAGCTGCACGCCGACAATCAGAAGCTCCCCTGACGGAGCCGCCGCCGCCGCCGAGGAGGATCCAATGTGAGGAATAATCCATACCGCTGTTTTTGAATGAGCAACTGGATAGTTTCTCATGACTTCACTAGCAGCTGTGACAAAAGGAGGACTGAGCTTTCCTCCTGCCTCCTTCACTGAACTCTACATATGTTCATAAGTTATAATCATATGGAAACATCTGCCAATTATGAAGCATTTCTGACTCAAGGGCACCTCGACTGAAGTCACAGAGGGGGGGGCGGGGTTGTTCCACATTCACTTCCAACACTTCCAGCTTCTCTAACCTTTAAAGCCCGTCGTTTTCAATCAAACGAGCAATCCTGACCCATAACTGTGAGTGATTTCTGTCCAATTAAACACTCCAGCAGCTGATTTCGCTGATTATTTCCTCCTCTGGCTTCAGATTAATCAGTGCAACTGGCTCAGGAGACTTTTTAAAAGTTGTCTGAATGGAAAACAACACGTCATCAGGACACGTGATTGGTTCCCTGAAGGCGCCGGCGGTGTATGAAAAACGCTTCAGGGGAACTCTAGCACGTATGAAAATTACATTCTTGAACGGGTCTGGATTTTAACAAGTAACAGAAGACACAGCGTGCCCATAAAACATTTAAAAACACAAAAATGAGACCAAAACTACGACAACAGAAACCGACACAAAACACATGACGAAAACATTTCTAATAACCTTCAGCGCAGAGAGAAGCTTGAACAGTACAACACGCAGTTGAGCAGAACAGACCTCACACTGTCGGTTGATATTTTCTGTCAGTGGTAAATTAAAACAGCACCTGATTGGCCGCTGAAGGCCACATGACTCACCTACAGAGGGCGTCGGAGCGACAGGTGCGCCGCAGTTCCAGGCAGGAGGGTTTGTGTCTCTCCTGGTGCGAGCAGGAGGGGACGATGGTGCGGCGGCGGCGTTCTGCACACGCCTGGTCCGGGCACGAGCAGAAGAGCAGCGGGTAACTGAGCTCCCATGAGACGCGCTCAAAGAACTGACGCAGGGCCTGCAGAGCGACAACACAGGGTGTCAACGCCGAGAGACAACACAGGGCGTCAATGCCGAGAGGCGACGCAGCAACATGAGATCTGGAGTTTTATGTAATACATTTAAAGTTTTTTTTTTCATATTTATCCTTCTTCAAAATCACAATCAGAGAGTCTTCAAATAAACCGTCTTTGTGCTACAATAAACTGACAAAACTATGAGGATTCTCTGCACTCACCTTCTGACATCTTTTCCTGCTGCACGGCTCCTGATTGGCCACAGAGGGCTGAGGGGGCGTGGCCTTGCTGCAGATGGAGTTGTAGGCAGAGCGCAGACGTTTACACGTCTCGTTGAGGTTACACGCCTTGGCTGCGTCCAGGCAGGGGTTACAGGGTTTCCCGGCCTCGGAGCAGGGGCTCATCTTGGACAAAGACGAATCTGAAAAGAAACGACAGGACATTTAGAAACACTTTTAGCCCCGGGTGAACTTGATTTTAACGACGGTGGTTTGGAGCGTTGGTCGTGCACATCCTCTGAAATTAACGCTATGGGTGCAATAAAAAATATAACCACTATGAGGAGATATGTTCTCCTCTTAATCATGCAAACTTAAATAAACGATGCATCCAGAATCCTGCTCAACATACGGAGGAGGACGACAGCAAACTTTGTCACTTATAATGTTCCTACTTTGTATTCTGTTCTGAGACGTTTGAGATGTTAATTGACAGAAATTGTAACAATAATCACATTGAGGTGCTGCTTTGCCACGCTGAGACCTCGTCACGTGTGTGTGTGTGTGTGTGTGTGTGTGTGTGTTTCACATCAGAGTCCAGCGTGAACACCTTTTAATTCTGATCCAACACGTCTGATTACAGCAGACTAATGGAAGTGACAGCTCTGACCTTGACCTCAGAGAGCACTTAAAGCGTGACATGACAAGCTGCAGCCGCACACGCCTCCATATTACCATCAACTCTTACATATTTATATCAGATAAAGAGTAAGTTGTGAGGGAAAACTAGTGAGTCAGTCCCTGTAGAGCCCCATGTTAAAATAAACATGTTTATAAATTAGAACTTTATTTAACAGACAAGTCTGAGCTCCACTTTCTACAACCAGTCACATCAGACTTTTATTTTATTTACATGTTAGCAACAATTAGCAGCTAATCTGAGTCTGTGAAAAACATATTTTTAGCTGGTTAGCTTGTTCACTGTTTGCCCTACATTGATTTATTGGAGGCAGTCTGTGCATGGAGTCAGGATTGCTGATTGAGCTTTGAGTGAATTGTGCCATCAGAGAGCTGTGCATGTCAAACATATCCACACTGAACATACAGAGAGATAGAGAGCGAGGGGTGATCGAGAGGCCACCACTGTGAGCTGTCATCACCTCCAACTGTGATGTCACAGACAATTAAATATAAATATAAACACTATTATGTGTGTGTGTGTGTGTGTGTGTGTGTGTGTGTGTGTGTGTGTGTGTGTGTGTGTGTGTGTGTGTGTGTGTGCGGTTTGTATGAAGTATCAGTGTGTTCAGTCAGAGCTTCACCTGTAGATAACCTTGTAGCTGCTTGTCTGATTGAACACACAAACACACGCACACACACACACACACACACACACACACACACACACACACACACACACACACACACACACACACAGACACACATGCTCAGTCTTTCTGCATTCCCGATACATTCGAGTGTACAGGAAGGAACATACTGTAATGCTTTCAAACATTTTATCATCACTGACAGAGTCTCCTCAAATGGAACATATTTTTCTTTGAATTCAAACATCTACTGACAATCTACCACACACACACACACACACACACACACACACACACACACACACACACACACACAGCCCTCAGCTGAAGAGCAGCTGTGTGTTTCCATGAAAGGCTAATTTCATGTCGAGGAGCTGCTGCTGAATGAAATTAAACACCGTATCTTTTTCTGGTGGCTGAATGCAAAAAATAAACAACACGCTGCGCTTATTTTCATTCTTTTTTGATGGAGTCAGAACTGTACAAACATCTTAAACACAAACAAACAAACAAGTCTGATATTGTGGCCCAAAATCTTGCAGTTCCTTGAGTGTCCACTAGAGGCTGGCTGCAGAAGCACAGGAAGTCAAATACAGCAGAGATTAACATGTTTACAGCCTGGTTCAAAAAAACAAACAGGTCTGATTAGCTCATGTCTCGATCGACACACACTGTACGGGGGGGTGAATGTTTTGATGACTCATCAGTTTTGATTTGATGAAGGATAAGAGTTATTCACAATAAGGCGTGTAGCTGACATGATTGACAGGAGGGCGCGGTGTAACGGTTTGTCAGGAGGCTTAAAACCCGCCTCAGCTCCAGCTCTCAGCCTGTCGTTAGGTTGACTGAAAGTTAGACTGAGACAGCATTTCAATCATGGAGGCCGCCATCGATGGGACTCCAGCACCCCCGGAACGAACAGACGGGTGACCTCACTCAGGCTTTGTCCATTCATATTTACAGTCTGACACCTATTAACATGATGGAGGCAGGGTTTATGACCTATACTGCAGCCAGTCACTGGTGCTCCACCAGCTCTCACTAGCTGCAGATGATTGGTTAATTATATGACGCAAATTGGCTCTTCACCATCTCCCTCCTTCACACTACCCCAATATGTCTCTGTTGTAAATATGTGTATTGTAGGTTTGTGTTGCTTCATAATTAGATTAAACTTCTCATTATTTTGTCCTTTGTTCGCCTTTAATTTAATCTTATTCGTACCTAAATCTCTTTTAAATAAACACGTCTGTCGTTAAACCTCCGCAGCCTGTCTCTGTGACTGTCAGGGACTCGAGGTTTATCTCAGGATCACACATGGAATTTAAAGTTCTGCCACCCAATTATTCTCAAACACGTTTCAGTTTACTTTACCCGAGATAAATGTCACAGCATCACAGAGCTGCTCTTTGTTTTAATCATCACTTAAACATCAAAACCTCCTGAATCGAAGGAAAGCAAGTAAGCGGAAGTTTCTATAAGACAGTGATGGAGATTCTGACTGACGGTCTGTGATTAACTGACTTCATGTTTGTCAAAGCTGCCAAAGCTCCATTAGCAAGAACTTAAACGACACTTTTTTAGTTTGGATGTTTCTGCTCAGAAGTGATTAAACACACATTTGTCTGATCGATTAAAGGCAAACTTCACTGACGTCTTGAAAACTATTTATTTCCTGTCTCTGCAATAGGGCCCAACAGTGAAGTAAAAATCCTGTTCATTTTCTCCATAGCGGATTTGATGATTAGTCATGATGTCATAACCATCCAATGTAGACTGACCACGAGCTACCCGAATGTAGAACGATGGTTTATGCTCCTGAAGGAGACACGAGTTCGTCTGATATCATCCTCGTTTTAAGAAAAACAAGGTTTAATAAGACCCTGGGAAAAAGAACTACACTACCCACAAGCGTCACAGCGACGTCTCTGATTGGTTGAGCTCGCTGTTACCATGGCAATGTTTCCCACCCCTCTGCGCCGTATGTGAACAGACAAGTTTCGCTAGCAGGCTAGCTAGTCAGTTAGCTAACAGGAAATGTATTAATAACCTTGTCATGTCGATGTGAATGTAGTTTACATTTTCAACAACAAAAACTACAAGATATTACAACACTTCCATTAACAGTATGAACACTAAAACAACGACTAAAGTTACATTTAAGAAGAAATGGATTGTGGGACGGTTAGTTCCTTGACTCCAGATGAAAATTATGGTCTTGTGTCTTTGCCTTTTTTTCTGTTTTTTAACGCCGAATTAAATGTACTATAGTCACGAGTATTGGGTAGCTGGTTGTCTTGGTTCCAGGCGCCAATGTCTTGATATGAGGATTTTGTGAAAAATGAAGGGAGGATTTGAATGAGGAAATTTACTTCCAGAACCAGAGCAAAGAAAAAGTGGGCAGTCACCATCGAGCTCTATGAGCCTCATGATATCTCTTGTTATGCAGATGACGTTCTGGTTTACATTCAGCTCCTCTTTACGTCTTTAACTCAACTCTCTGAAGACTTCAAACGTCTGTGCAGAATCTGAAACTTGTTCTGACCACTGAGATAACACGTTTAGGTTGAATGAATCCATACCTTCAGATAGATACACTAAATACTTGTTAAATTGAAACATGGAAACCTCCTGAATTATGAGATTATCGGTGAGACGGCGCCTTTAAAATCGGTCGACTACAGAGAGCCTTTATTGTTGGTCTACCTAAAGATAAATTGGTGCAGTATCTTTGTTCTTTAGTTTGACATGAGATAAATGCTGTCCTCGTCTCACCACTGTGCTCTGTGTAAAGCAGAAACAGGAAGTGAAACTACATGTTATCAGTATTATTTATAAAGGTCTCCTGCAGCAGCTGCCTCAGTGCATCACATCTCTCATTTACAACCAGAGCTCAGCACGCCACATCTCTGGCCCGTTTATCTCCTCTTACCCCCACGGGTGGGTACTGCACTTGACAAGACCGCCTTCCAGGACTTTGCACCCAAACTGAATGAAAAAACATGGGCGTCTCATCCAATTTGAAACTTTTTCGTGAGAAGTAAAAAAATAAAAAAAATAAATAAAACGTCTCCGTCCCTCATTTTTATGGAGAGAGGAGTCAGGGAAGTTTGGCTCGTCTGCCTGATGTTGGAGCAATCCAGTGTCGACTATTTAAACGATTTTAAAAATCCAACCATCGATGCCTGTTTTGACTCCAGGGCAACAAAAACAGAAGTCTCAGGGACCCAATATTTTGTAATTTATTGTTTTTAATCGACAAACTTGCAGGTAAGCTCCCCCACACAGTCATTGGAAAAGTCTGCAGGATTGTTCCTTCCTCTCATCTGTCTTATGAAATAGATGTAGTTTATTAAAGCTTCTGTACTTTCTGATACTAAAATAAGAGCGTTTGTAGCATTTTAAAACGTGTGGTATCGAAAACGGTCAAAGAATCGAACACTTTGACGACCTTGGTTCTTGCACGGGGCTCCATAACTCCCTCAGGCAAGTGTGAGCAGGCAGCGCCTCCAGGGTCCAGATTTACTGAGTTTAAAGACACAATGTACTGTTTTGGGTCACTCGCTTTCAGCTGTACCTGGTGGGATATCTTTACTTCTTCATTCCTGACAGGTGGCAGAGCTCTTATCATTCAGCACATCCGAACAGAGCAGCTCTGAAGAACATGTACAAGGATTTACCTGCATATGTCCAGAAAGCTAAATGGAGGCGGCTCGGTACCACGGAGGATTGTGAAGTACTTGTTATGCAGCCGATTTGACGATGTGTTCATGGACACGCGAGAAACATGTGCTTTCAGTGCAGAAATAAACTCCCAGTTGTTTCAGCGTTCTGTTGTCTTTAATGCAGTCAGTGGAATGAGCATGTTGGGTCTC